CGCGCAGGGGGCTGGTGGCCGGGCGTGCGCACAGCAGCCGCGGCGCTTCCCGGAGCGGCTCTGCTGCCCCGAGCCCGCCCGCGCGGAGCGGGGGCCGCGTCGCGTCGCCTCCACGCGCACAGCCCGGCGTGCCGGAGCCCGGCGGGGCGGCCCCGCATGAAAGAGGTGCAGCCGGGGCGCTTCGCACGTTGCGAGGGGAACGCCGAGGTGGCGAGGATTGCCTCCTGCGCTCTTTTCTGTTTTTTCCGGGGGGGGATCAAACTCATTGCATCTCACTGGCCCTTCCGGCGGGGAAGCTATGCGGACCCCCCTCGCGGTCAAGCCCCGTCGAAAGCAACGGGGGCGTTCGCTTGCGCGACCGCTCCCCTAAAAAACATGTTTCGCCCGTCCGCCTCTGCGCTCCGGTTCTCCATCTCTCCATAACCACAGCATTTACCCGCCGAGGGGGCGTGGCCTCCTCCTCCTCCCGTCGCGGCCGTCGCGCTGACCTTGCCCTGTCCCCGCTGCTCCTGCCTGCCGGGGCCGGGCGGGCTGCCGGGTGCCCCGCGCTGCGCCTGCGCAACTTTGTTTGGCAGGCTGCAGCCCGGCAGGCGGTGCGGTCGTGAGCAGCCGAAGCCGGGGAAGAGCCCTGCGGAGCCGCGTTAAGGGCCGGGACCCCGAAGGGCCGTTCGGAGGCCCCTGCTCACTCACGCCCGCACGCGCGGCTTTGGAGGAGGGGTCGGTCGCGCGTGTTGTAGCTGCGCGCTCGCGGCGGCCCTGTGGGCGAACTGCCCTGGACGGTGGTCTGTGGGGCGCCTGTCCCGTGGCCCCGATCCCCGGTCTTTCCGGCACCTGGCGAGGGGCCTGTCTTCACGAGTCGTCCGAAGGGGCAATCCTGTGCAGGAACAGAGATGCTGCCCTTTCCCCCGCCTCGTCGCGCATAGGATCGCGCCTCCGCGCCCCGAATTTTGACACGCCGTCCGGAGGCGCAACCTCCGCGCCCGCCCGCCCCCTTCTGCAGCGCCCGCTTCTGCAGCGCCCAGCCCCGTTTCCCGGCGCTCAGGACGTGGCCCCCGCGTCTCCGCTCCCCATCCGGGGCGGGGCGCCGCCGTCGCCTTCGATCGCCGTGCTCGGGGCTGGCGGCGGCCGGAGCATGTCGGGGCCCAACGGAGAGCCGCATCTGAGCCTGGCGAGGGCCGAGGAGGACGACGGCCAGGACGGCGGCTTCGGGGAGGCAGGTAACCTTGACGCCCCTTCCACAGGCCGCCCCCCCCCAGCAGAGATCGGGCGGGGCGATGCCTTCGGGTTCGCTGCTAGGGCTTGGGGGTCTCACGGTCTTGCGGACGCTTCCCGGAGACAGCGCGTCCCGTGTGGGCTGGTCCTCTTGCAGCCTGCCTTAATTTTAAAAATCTGTTTTTAAACACCGGATCCTATGCATGCTTGATGATGGCCAACACACTGCATTTGTAAGGCATCCTTCGTGCTGTGCGAGGGACCCACGGTGGCCTGAATAGTTCTCCATTTTTATCTTTACAACAACGCTGTGAGGTAGCTTAGACTGAGAGTCTGCAACTAGTTCAAAGAAACCCAGTGAGCTGTATGGGGTCCAGCGTTCTCTGGGTCCGTTATGGTTTGTATCTTGGCCAGAGACCTTTGCTCTCTCCATGCATCTGGCGAAGCAGGCAGTGCCTACAGCCACTTAGGCCCAAATGGAGGTGTTGGTCTTTGGGACACGTTGCTGTTTCGGTCCTCCGTCTGCATCCTCAGTGGATCTGTAGCTGGCTCGGATTCTGAATCTCAGTTCAGACCAATATTGTGGGCCGTTCCAACTCGTGTTCTTTTATTGCCATCCTCATCCAGAATATGCAGCCATCAATTCCATGTTGGACCAGATCAACTCCTGCTTGGATCACCTGGAGGAGAAAAATGACCACTTGCATGCCCGGCTGAAAGAACTGCTGGAATCGAACCGCCAGGCACGACTGGAGTTTCAGCAGGAGCTGACCGAAGGCGGGGAGGGCGACTCCAGCACACGGAGGCCCGGAGCAGACACTTAACCCGTTAGCTGGACCATTGCTGCTAGCAATGAGACCCCTTCACCCTCAGTTTCATGTGGAAACTTTCAATAGAAACGGTACCTTTGGTCTGGTCTGTGTGCGTGTTTTAAACACCTCTTCCTCATTCTCTTCTCCGGCGTGTGACTATGACTAATCCATTGTGTTTTAGGGAACCAGGGTGGTTTGAAGAATAGGGTAGGGGGTGGGAACGAGATAGGTGTAGGATGGTGAGAATGGCGATGCTTTGGCTTGGTGGGGTTGGGGTAAATTGCACAGCCACCCCCCTCCTGGGTGAATTGCTAGGAGGCTATTCATAAGAAAAATAAGGATTATTCCTTTTCTTACTTACGGATAAGCAGGTTCCTCCTTACCTGTTCAGTCAATTGCGATTGCATGATCAAAGCTGCCATCATCTGCCCATTTACCTGAGCATAAGTCAGGTTGAGTAGACACATACTGTATAGGAATGCACTGTAAATATGGGGGATTTTTGGTTTTCACAATTGTCCGCAGCTGCCTGTCTCCAAGATAGCTAAATGTGCAAAGGCAGAAGTTGGACAGGCAATTTGATCATGTTAAGAATTATTGCAGGGATATTTTTCCCTGGCATAAGTTCCGCCCTTGTAGGTACTGTTTTCTTTGGAATGGGGCCATTTCTTGTGGGAGATTTCCAGCTTCAGTACTGCCCCAAACAGTTTTGAAAGTTCAAGTGAATGATTTGTATAAAGTTATGAATCCCAGGACTTCCTCACGGTTTAACAGCAGTGAGCAAATTTCAAAGCTGTTGAGGGTTGCAGCATGGACATGCCTTGTCTCCTTTCGCTCTGATTAAAAATGCAGGAAGTTATATGTCTGCTAATTTTTGGAAGCGAGTATTTATTGTAAACCAACATCCTAACCTTTGATACTGGGAAATTAGAACGCAGCTGCATCTTCTCGGGGCCAGGAGCTTATGCGCAGAAACAGAGCCTGATGTGGAGTAGGCAAAACCACTCCTCTTTTTTCTTTTTAAATCAACTAGAAGGAAAAAGGAGCTACTGGAGAATAACTAGCAAACGCTTGCTTCCCTTTATGAAAAGACTCTGTGTCCACAAACTGGCCGTGCAGAAAAAACCATGGTTAAATCTCTGTTCTCAGTGCTTTTCACAGGTACTAACAGCATGAGCAGGTATCAGGTTTGGGGATACACCTTGGTGTTTTATTTTTAACTGGCCCTCCAGCTGCAGCCAGATGATAACTTGGAGGGCAAGGCAGTTACCTCTTGCACCCCACTGGCTCCATTAGCTGGGAAGGATGGGAGTTGTCAAGGAAAAATGGAGGGGACCAGGTTGGGGAAGGCTGGTCGTCTTTGACTTATATGAATCTACATTGAGCTGCCACAGGGGGAGGAAGATGGACAGCATAAGGGTGCAGTTCTTTGTATACAGATGTTCTACAGCTCCCAAGCTGCTAGTCCTGGTCCAACACATCTGGAAGGGGTCAGGCTAGGAAGAATTGCTCTGAGCATCCTGCTGGATCACAGCCTACCTTCTGTAGCAGGGCTTACTCCACAGTAAAGGCTGCAGTCATAATCACCTGTATAATGTGTTGGTGCCCCTTTCATCTCCTGCAGCTGTGCTAAGTAATTCTGGAAACATGGACAAGTGTTTGCTTTCACTTTAAGTAATCTTTTGATATTTGTGAATAAATGACGGACAATACTGAGCCTGGTCCCTGTTTGCTGTGTTCTGCCTTGCCTCTTCTCATGGGGCTTTTTTCTGTCAGGATAGGAAAACGGCCTGGCATGCCCCGGCGCAGCTGTCCAAAGTAGCCAAGGATTGCTCCAAAGTCAGAGCATCCTTTCTTGTCTTGCGGCATTTCAGAACGGCGTCTCCCTGTCACTTTCCAAACCCTGCAGGGTGATCCCATGCCAGACACACAGAAGTTGCTTTTTTTCTTTTAATTTAACAAAAACTCCAGTAAAACTATAGCATTCTTTTTGCCTAGAAGACGAAGGGGGTGGGTGAAGGGGTTTGGGTAGGATAAAACCTTTCCAGAGAAATCTATGTGAAGAGACCACTCTCCTGCCGAAGCCCCTTATCGGGCCCGTCGCCTCGCCGAACGCCTGCGGCCGGATGAGGATTCCCCTCTGGCTGGGGCGAGGGGCTCAGCTTCCTTCTCCTGGTCTTGGGTGCCTGGAGCTTCCTTTGCTCCTAATTCGGCTTCATCTGCCAAGATTCTCCTTGTAACGGCCTCGTGCTTAGTTTCCTCGCAGCGCTCTTGTTTTCCTGCACCAAGTCCCAGCACTTCCTCCGTCGGAGGGGCACCGTGGCCTTGCCCCGAGAAGCCGTCGCTAATCATCGAGAGGTGGCTCCCCTCGCCTCCCCCGGCCAGGGTTCTTTGCATGCCCCCCTGTGAACTCGCAGCCGAGCTGCTTCTCCTCACTGCAGGGGCAGCTGCTGGCTCAGCTTCCATGAATGCCAGGACGGCCTGTTCGGCGTTCGCCAGCTCCGTCTGATCCTCCATCTTAGCAGCAACGGGAGTTCGCTGGGCGTCTGGTCCTCCCTGCGTCCTCAGGGAGGGCTCTGCGAGTGTGGCTGCGGCCTGCATCCTCGTGGCTTTGTACCTCTGCAGACGGGGGAAGAGCACAAACCAGGGTTACCGAAAATTAGGCTGAGCGGGTCAGAGATGCCAGACCTTGCAGGAGTCTGGGACAAGCCTGCACAAAGGCTGTTACGAGCCCTGCCCCTTCCCCGGCCTCTTCCCCGGCCTCCCGTGTGTTTTGGACAACATGGTCAGAATAATCACAGGAATCGTAATCCGTTGCTTCTGGAAGGCATCACCTGGGGGAGGCGGGCCTACTTAGTTTCTTGAGGAGAACTGATGTTGCTGCCTCGAGGGACAGCTTATCGGTCTTAAAATGTACGGAAAAAGCAACCAAGAAAACATGTCGCACCTTTCAGAAGAGGTACTGGAGGGATTCTTTTTTCCACACAGCGGAAGAAAGCTAAGCCGCCCCAGTGGTAGGATAAGGCTTTTCCCCAAAATGTACTAGGCAGAATAGAGATTTTCTTTCGGCAATCCAAGATCTTTCTTTTATTTCTGACATACCAGGACCTGAGACCTTCCCCTTTTAAAGTCTGCTTTACAGCCAGAATGAGTATGTGCGCACCATGATGCCAATGTGGCATGACACCTCCTTTTCTTAAAGTAAGTTGTTAGTCCTTATGGATGCAAAGACCTCTCGGTGGGCAGTAATACCTTCTGAAACCTCAGTGCCTGAATAAGATTGCTAGTTCTCAGGGGCACTAGGTCCTGCAACTAGCAAAATCAGAATTAGGTGAGCCAGTAGATGCTGCAGGCAAAGTTATGCGTATTTCCCTTCATAGGGAAGAGAGCATCGAACGCCCTAGCCCCAAATTGCAAATTCAGTTAGAAGAAAGCACCAGCCTGCATTCCCCTGGGTGCTCTCAGCCCCTGCTTTCGGCCCGTGTTTACTTTTTCGAAAGAACAGGAGGGACCATTTGGTTTCAAAGCAAGATGAAACTGACGAAGATTGAGGCTGAGGAGATTACCCCCTGGAATAAGCAGTGCATGGTGCAGTTTTCTAATTGGTGCGAGTATACAGCCCAATTAGAAAAATGCAAAAATTGCCCGCATGGAGGGAAAGGAATCCCTGGTTAGAACTCGGTTCCCCCGTTTTGTCAGTCTGCACTGCAAGTGGCAGAGTGCACTCCATCACCGGAAGGCAAGCCAATCCCCGCTCAGCCACTGAAGACAAACCTACCTAACAGCTCTGCTGAAAGGATGAAATGGAGAGGGGCAAATGCATATTTTCTTGAGCTCTCTGGAGGACAGCGACTGTATAAACGTGATCTTTTTAAAAAGAAAGTTTTGTAGTACACAGGGAAGATGAATCTCTCTGAGAAAGGCGTTTAGGGTGCTTTGCTTTCAAGTGCAAGTGAAGAGGGAATGGCTAACGTTGATCTGCCCAAGATGCTGATCAACACACGCACAATGAGTTAAACGATGACAGAAGGGACGAAAATAAGAGAGTGTTGATAAAGAGGTCAGTGGAAGGAAGAGGGATTGCTGAGCGGGAGCACGATCGGCAGAAGGCTCTACCTGGACGTTTTCAAAATGCAGCAAGGACTTGCAGTGGGCGAGACGGCCAGCAGAGTCGCTATGGTAGAATTTGTGACACAACCTGCACAGGAACCCAGCCACGGGGACCAGAAAATCCGGGCCTGTGAAACGAGGGAGGGGAAGGGAAGTCACAGCTTGAATGGAACCAAAGCAATAAATGAATAAATACGAAAGTCTAGAAATCGTGAAAGCAAAACATAAATGTTACGTAAAATAGATGGCATGTAGAAAAAGGAGGTGGGAATTTGTGTTGAAAGGGACAGGTAATGAGCGAAGCACTGACAAACAGAAGGGCAGCTGGTTTTCCTTCCATCTAGTTGCATGGCTGACCTAACACCAACTGGAATGCAGAGAAAGGATTCAAGTGAAAGGAAATAAAATAGGAGAAGAGGAGAATTCGGAGGGTACGACGTCTAATGAAGACAAAGCCAAGCAGGAGACAGCTGAGGGAAAGACAGGCAGACAGACACGCAGCACGAAAATGGCACGGACATTGTTCCTTCTGCCTCCGGACAGAGAGGGGTAGGATGACAAGGGACGATGGACTGGGGTGGGAGGGGGAAAGAGAGAGAGAGAGAGAGTGGTCCTCACAGATCCCATAATGAAATCTGCCACTTTCATTATCCGCTTTTTAAAAAGGCGTTTAGGCAAAGTGAGGCATAAGCCTGGCTTGCACATCACACTACCATTGCAGTTGGGGGGTGCTGGGCTTTGTAGTCCCGCACATCTGAAGGACACCAAGTTGGGGAAGGTTGGTATAAAGGCTCATGGGACTATCAGGTTATCTTTTTTCAGGCGATGTCTACCGAGTGCGTTTGGAACTGGTGGTGCTACTGCGCTGCGAGATGACCCCTAGAAAGTGCGCACGCGCAGCCGGAATTCTCTGCGTACCGTAAACGGTGTCTGGACAGTATTCCTCATTCCCCTCTGCATCGTCCGATGAGGCTTCCTTCTGTCCAACCTGCCCAAGAACCAGGAGGAGGGGGAAAAGGTTAGCTTCCACTTTTCACCCCAGCTTAGGGGATGCTTGCAGCCAAGGCAAATGCTACTCTGCGTGGCAACAAAAGAAGGGCCGTGCGGTATCAGACCATGAGGCCCATCTGACATCCGGGGGACACGTCAGGGCCGGGGTGGAGACGTCCCCCCATCTCAAAGAGAACGAGCCAGACTGCTCTGTAGCCTGCTAAGCTTTAATGAAAAGATGGTGTCTCTACAGGCTCGTCGGAGTCTGCTGGAGTGACAAAGAGGGAGAGAACTCATAACAATACTGAGCCATACTGTTCAGGACAGCTGGGGAACATGGGAGACAAGGTGGTCTCCCATGGGCAATGCAGTGCCCAGAAATACACCTGGGGAATCACACAGTGCAGCCAGGTTTCCTCCACAGCAGCCTCTTTTGAAACACAAACCTGTTTCGGCAAAGGCTCTTCCATACACAGTTGCTCTCCCGTGGGGTCAGCATCCTCATCTCCAGCTTCCTCCTCCTCCTCTTCCTCCTCCTCTTCCTCCTCCTCCTCCTCTTCAAAACAGCCAACAGCATCGACCGTTATAAGCTCCTCGGAGTCCTCTGGCCGGCCCCGCTCCTTCTCACCTAACCGCACCTGGCCAGGTAGGAGAACAAAGAGAGCAACAAGAGCGAGACAGAGTAAGCCCGTTTGGAGATTCAGAGTCCAGCTTCTACACTTTTGGCATTTCTGGTGCAACGGGCGAGGGGGAATCATGTGCATTCTCACTCATGGCAAAGCACACAAGCTGACAAGTCCCACCACGGCTGCAAGACAGAGACCCCTCAGCCACTGCACCGGAATTGCAAATGCCCTGGGCACAGAACCACTCCACTCTTGGATTTCCCAACCTGGCCGGGCCTAGGAATGCTAGCTAGGAGACAACTAGAAGGAAAAACACACACGCATACTGCAACTAGAATACTTCACTTACCATAAAAGGCATCTGGACAGTATTCCTGATTCTGTCCAGCATCTCTTTCCTGTACAAACCAGGCTCCCAAGTACATATTCTGGAGGAAGGGCCTTCAGCACTCTGCCTGGCAACTGAGGTCATCTTTCTGGGGACCTAACTCCCAGCCTCTAGAAGTCAGGCAAGCGCCGGCACCCCCTGAAAACCTCTTTATTTCAGGAAGATTCCCTTCATTGACTGGTCACTGATATTCAGCTTTTACCAACACCCTCTTTTTAGTACGGTGTCATATTCTTTTTATCTTTTTATCGTTCGTTGCTCGGGAATGTACACAGATGTGTAGCAGGGTATGCATATTGCCAATAAACTTCCCAATCCTAATACCCATCGTCGTGAGGATCTGCAGCTGCGTCACCCTGGGAAGGGCCGCGGCTCAGTGGCAGAAGATGCTCCATCCAAGCAGAAGGTCCCATCCAATCCCAGGCAGGTCCAGGGAGGGCTGGGAAGACTCCTGCCTGAAAGCAGCCACAGGTCTGACTCTGTGCCCAAGGCAGCCTCCCGTGCAGCGCTGAGGGTCATGGAGGCAGCCCCAAGCCACCCTGCGCAGGCCCCCAATCTGCGCAGAAGCAGCCCTGGCACATCGCCTCTGCTCTCCCGCCGGAAGCACGCCCACCGTTACCTCTCTGGCTTTCTGCTTGTGCTCCAGGGACTTCATGTGCTCCACAAATTTGCGTGGGCTCTTGAAGTGACGGCTGCATACTGTGCAAAAGGGACGGAGAGAGCGCTTGGCGAGCTGGAACAGGCGGGGAGAGAAAGCCAGAGAGAAGGTTAGGGACCGGGCAGCCTTCAGTCAGGGCGAGCACATACACACCTGGGTGTGCTTGCTTTAGGCAAAAGCTCTCTTTCAAAACTCTGTTCTGCTACAACAGACAAGAAAGATCAGCTGTGAAGTTCCACATCTCGGCTCATCCACAAACATGCTGGGTGGCTTCCGCCTGCTCTCAATCCTAGCCTCCCAGCTGCAATATGCAGGAATACTGGCCTGCCTGGCAGGACCGTTTTGAGGACGCAACGCACCTGAAGCAATTTGAACACTTAGGTGAAAGAGCCACACACACACACGCTCTTCACAATCTTTTTAGCACCAGCCGGAGACTTGTATTTGTGAATACCTGAGTCTGTCCAATTTTTGTGAGGCTGCCTATCTCTCGCCATTATCTTACTCTCTGTCACTGCTACATATAGGTTGAATTTTTCGGTTTGCATCCCTGTGAAATTTTTATTCTGTGATTGTTGTGTTTTAAAATGGTTTATTATTTGTAAGCTGACCAGAGAAGACCTTTATGGGGTGGCACAGAAGTGCTGTTAGTGGAGTAAAATGCTGTTAGTTAATAAATCCAGTTTAAAAAAAAAAAACCAAGACCGAGAGCCTACTGTATTCTCTGTTCCTTTCCCCCCAAGATAAATGAAACCAGCTAGCACAGCCTTCCCCAGCCTGACACCCCTCAGAAGTGATTTGCATCCAGTCCTGCTCTGAAAAACTTAGAGGGAAGGGGAAATCACCTTATGTTCTTGCGTCCGGCGGTGTTTGATCACATCACCTGTAAAATTGGTCTGGCAGGTGTTGCACCACCGCGGCTGGCTCTCTCTGCAAGGGCGAGAAGACCCCTTTAAGAAAAACAGTGCCGACACAGAAGGTGACCCCGCTAGCTCTTTGGCAGCAGCTAAACCGTTTGCCACAAAGCGTCCTGGCAGGCGTCGCGTCATTCAGCTTTCCGTGTGTTGCATTGCCTGCCTCCCCGTTTCATTGCCTGCCTCCCCAAAGTCTTCAGACAAAATCTGCTGATCCAGACGCTGCAAGGGAGGCCTTCTGCTTTACAGCGTTTTCCTCCCCCGCCAGAGCCCCTCAAGTATTCTTACTGATCTCCTGACTTTTCTTCTCCTCTGACACTTCATTTAGGTATTTAGATCCTGCACTTCCAAGCTGAAAACCTTTACAAAGTGTCCTCCGGTATACTAAGCCAGTACAATGAACATGGATTGAAAAGCATGATTCCCTGACTGCCATCTAGTTCTGTGAATCAGGTTCCTCTTCCCCAGCTCTGCTGGTTTCTCTCCTCCAGGTACTGGATGGGATATAGCCCTGGAACCCACCTGGAAGGGGCTGAGACCACCTGGAAGTCTCCAACCCACGGCTTGAGAAATGCAGCTCTACCATGTGGCACTATTTGCTCTTAGATCGATGTGTGAGAGGGGTTGGGAGAAGGACACACAAGTACGGTTACAAACCTTGTTTCCCACAGAAGTTACCACCTGTACATACCCATCTACCTCTGCCAGGGGCTGCTTCTCCTTCACCACGGGCAGCAAAGAGACTAAGCAGATGTTACTCATGTGTTGGATCTCCTGGAGCCGCTGCTGGTGCTGAACACCTGTCATGTGGGCCTGGAAATTCTAGCACAGAGAGAGAGGATCCGTCAGCACTTAAATGTGGCAAACCTCTCCGTCTCCAAAGCTAAGTTACTGGGGTCCTCGGATAGCGAGTCCCTGTTGCTTCCACAAAGGGGTATGGCCAGACAGGAGACCACCCAGAGCAGAGTCTTCAGAGTGGTGGGTCCGTTTCCGTGGGACTCCTTGCCCTGGAGGTCAGGCACACACCAACTGTGTGTTGTTTTCAGCACCCCTTTATTTCACAGAGCGCTCCTTGACTGACCAGCCCCACTTTTATCAATATCCTGTTTTTAACATACCGTTTCATTCTTTTCTCTGTTCACTGCTCTGAAATCTCCCCAGCAAAACATGGAGCAGTATATACATTTTGTAAATAAGGAAATAATCTCAGGTTGGCTGCCCCAAAAGTGATGAAAAAGTCTGTCCTGAAAGAGTGACCTGGAATCACTGAGAAAAGTATCTGGAGAGCAACATTCCCTGCGTGCAAATAATGCGGAATTAGCTCTGCACAATTCCGCAGAGCCCCTCGGAATGCCTCCCTGAGCTAAAACCAAACACGGCCCTGACGGAAAAAGGCAGGCGAGCTTTTCAGACATGCATCCCCACCTCTGCGGCCTGCCATGGCCCTGAGCTAGGAAGGAGATGCCCCTGGCCAAGTTATCCAACAGCCTTGTTTGCAAGCATGGTTCACAGCAAACGAGCAAAGGCGTCGTCAGGGTGGGAGGGCCCCCAGGTCCCAGCTTGGCACCCCCATTACCTGCTGGTTGCAGCAGTCGGTCTTGCAGATGTAGCAGTAGAACTTCAGGGCGGACTCGGGGCTGGGTTCGGGGGCGCCCACCTCAGAGGCCCAGTGGGCCGGCTTCAGGGCCGTGGTGCTAATCGCGCGGCTCTCGCTGCTCTGCTGAATCGTAACCTTCAAGGACCCGGCAGTGCTGACCACCTGGGAGGTCGGGAGGCGGGCCGAAGACCGTCAGGAGCGGTGGGCTAGTGATCAAACGCACGCTCACCCCCCCACCCCCCACCCCGGTGCCAGAGAAAAGGAAAAGCCATGTGACGGAGGCCGGGTTCCCCCTCTTCAACAGCGCTTGCAAGAGACACTGGAGGGGGGGGGCGGAATGTGTCCACCGAGGGCAGAAGTGACAGGATGGGCTGCAGGATTCTCATAACCATCTGCATGAATAAAAGCACGGTGGGGCTGCCCTCCCCATGGGGCTGCCTAATCCAGAGGAGGGCGGGAGGGCGGCAAATGGGGGGAAAACTTCCCAGCCACCTGTTCCTACAGGATTTGGGGTGGGGCAGCCACAGCGCACGAATGATCAGCAGGAATAGTCTGCAGAAGAAACATGTCCAGGAACGTGAGGGCCCACTGGCTGGGGAGGCCGAGCAGTGGCAAAGGGAGGGCACGGGCATGGGGGGCACAGCATTGTGTGTGTGTGTGGGGGGGCAGCATTTACCCATCAACAAACTCTGTCTGCTTTCTTTAAAGAAGCAATTTTTTACAAGAGTGCCTTGCTGCATCCTGCCATTCCAGTTTCCTTTTGGGCTTGACCCCAGGACGTGGGACAAAGGAGAAGAACAAAAGAATGGCACAAAGGAGGGGAAGAATAAAGGAGCTGAACCTGCTGCAAGGACACCTCAAGAAAGCAGGAAGGGCCGTGCTGGATGCAGCCGGACGCCCGAGAGCTCTGCTTCGATGCTCCAGTGGGAAGCCCACAGGCAGGGCGTGGGGGCAAAGGCACCCTCCCTCCCACGCACGTTCCCCAGCCACTGGGGTACCTAGGCCTCTGACACCAGAGGCAGAGCAGAGCCCCGGGAACTAGCAGCCCTGCGCCCCCTTTGCCTCCCTGAATGTGCCCAAGGTCTGAAAAGCAGCTTGCCTACCTCTGATGTGTTCAGGTCCTCGGCGAAGCCCTTCTCCTTGCAAACCTCTGCGGCCAAGTTCTCCTTCTCACTGTCGGCCTCTGGGGAAGAAAAGGAGGGAGAGACAAGCGAGGGCAAAAGGATGTTCGCTGGTTGGAAAAAATACACCCAAATGGATTGCTACAGAATCAGTTCTTTTATCTACCTAGCCCTGGACTGTCAACACAGACTGGCAGCTGCAGCTAACCAGGGTTTCAGGCAAACATTTCCCAGCCCTTCCTGGGGCCAAATCTGGGAGCTTGTGCAGGAAAAGCAGGGCCCCACTATGGCACTTTGCCTGCCGATCGGGGCAGGTGGGCGTAGTCATCTCAAACAACCGGAAGGCATCAGGTTTCATCTTCCCCTGGTTTATCCCATAACTTAACAATGGCCTGAAAAGGCCCGTCATTTTGGCCTTTAGCCAGCAGCCTTAGCCTTATTACCCTTTATCAAGGTTGCCCGGCTCAGCTCATTCCAGCAGCAGGGGGCTCTTACCTTCCAGGTGGGATCTGGTGTCTGACTCCTCGGCTCGTAGGAGACATGCCATTTCCTCAGGGACTGGCTCTTCAACATTGCTAGCGGGATGCAGTGGAGTGGGCCGGGGAGAGAGAGACATTATGAGAACATCAACCAGGCCAGGAATCGAGCGGCTCCAGGCCAGAGGCTCGGACTGGGCAACCAGCGAACACAAAACCCTCCCAAATGAGCATGGTGACACCTCTTAGATGGAACGCCACTCGTGGTCTCTTTCCAGTGCCAGACAATGGCATTATTGTTATTGCTGTTGTTAACTACTTCTTTATAGCAGCTGCAATCCAGGCTTTCTAGGAAGTTACAAAAACTGGCTTGCATTGCCAATTTTTATTGGTTCCCCTGGTTTCTGATGGTGGTTCTTCGGTTTGTCGTTAACAGTGTATTACAATCCTCCCCCACACCTGCTGTTTTTCAATAAAATATGAACAATAAACCCTTTCCCCATTTTGCCTTCCACCATAGACCCATTCCCTCTACTTCAGTAAAACCATTCAGCGAAAAAGGGATCCACGATTGGATGAAAAGAACAAAATACAACGCAAGAGTTGTGCCACATGTGTCTGCTTGCTTGCCTGGGTTTTGCGGTGGAACATATTAACCTGAGTAGAATTTAAGGAAATGTCCATGCGTTCACTGGAATGCATTTTCTTTCTGTAATTTGGTGCAATATATCTTTTCATGGGTAGTCAAAGCCGAGAGATTTTACTTGATTGTGAATATCTTTTATTTGCTTTCCTCTGTTGTAGGATAATGCTCTTAGCTGTTAAGAGGGGCTTTCCTATACCATCAGCATCTGCCAGGTCTCATTTGCCTGGAAGGCATCTGTTACTGTTTGGAGACTCTTGTGAATTTGCTCTTGGACTTTTCAAAACGGGAAGCCAGTCTGGAAGCACTTTCGAACAAAGACAAGCAATTCCAGAGGGGCAGCAAAATATTATGAGTACCATTATTTAGAGTATGGCAATATGGAAGGCATTCTGCATTCTAGGTGACATGGAGAATCTGCATAGGTAAAGGAGGGCTCTCCTTCACAATGCCAGCCCTCTACAAGCCAAGAACAATGGATATCACCCCAGAAGAGCACCGGGCGCTTCCTACAGGTGCCTGATTCCGGTTCCAAAGGCCTTCCGGGATCCTGGCAAAGGCATCAGACAAAAAAAAAAAAAGAAAGAAAGAGGAGGGGCGGAAGGAAGGTTTTAACGAAAGAGGTTCTGAAGCTGTTTGCGATGGAGAAGAGCAGAGGAAAAGCCGGGAGGACAAACTGGAAGGAGTACAGACTTCTGGACCACTGAGGGGAGGGTGGGGAGAGGAGAGGTGGGAGAGAGGGGGAGGGGTGGGGAGAGGTGGTACACAGGGGAGAGGTGGTCTCGGGCAGGGTTCTTCAAAGGCCAGAAAGCACGTCTTGGGGACACTGAAAATACCAGCCTGCTGAATGGTGGCCGTTCAAGGGAAAAAAGAATCAGACTCAACATCAGAGATGCTTTGGGCAGTGGATTTAAACATCGGATATAAGTCATGTGGGGTGGGGGGAAAGAGGCCGTGTGGCATAGTGATTAGAAGGCCAGCCTGGGGACCCGGAGATCTGGATGCTAGTCCCCATCTGCCCATGAAGCTTGCTGTGAGACTCTGGACCACTCACTCGCTCACTCTCAGCCTGGCCTACCTCACAGTGTTGTTGTACTAAGGATACAGTGCAATAGAAGATGTCTGTGGAACTTTTGGGTTCCTCACAAGAGGAAAGAAGGCAGGATATAAATGCAATGAAAGAACTATGTCAAATCTTTAAATATAATTGTTTAGCTTGGGAGTTGGACTGGAGGCTGTAAATACTGTCTAGGCTAGTTATTTTATCCTGCTGGCTTTTTATCATCAGCTTTTTTTTTTAACCATGTTTTTTTCCTTTCAATGAATTTCCTGGCTGCAAGTTGCCCCAGGTAGTACAGCTGCCCTAAAAGGTAGTCCAGGAATACTTCGAACAAGTAAATATCAGATGAAGTTGCTGGCGGTTATGAGGGCGAAGATTTGTGTTACCTTCTTAGCCGCTTGGCGAGAGGTTGGGCCTCTGGAGAGGATTCTCCCGGTCTCTCTGTGGACCCAGAAAAAGGTGTTAATGCTGCGGAAGAGCCGGGAGCCTGCTCACTCGGCCTTCCCCAGTCTGCTGTTGCTGGATCTCAGATCCCATGATCCTCAAGCACAGGCCTCGCTGGCTGAGGCTGCTGGGAGCCGTAGCCCAAAACATCTGGAGGGAACCACACTAAGGAAGGTGAGCCCAGCTCAGCTGGGCAAGGGGGCATCTCTCTGGAGGCGTGAACCCCCCACTCCTCCTCCCGGCTTATTCCACTGTGCCTCGCAGTCAGGTCAGCGACAAACACAACTGCCTAGCCAATCTTTCCGAAATGTACTGGCGGCATGTCCTTTTTCTGTCCTGCTTGCTAGGATCTCTGGTCAGCCAGGCGAGGCAAACTGCAGAACCCCACTGACGGGAGGGTCGGGAGGGGCAAGACTGGCACAGCGGTAGCGCACCCGTCCTGCATTCAGACGGGCGAGTGGCTAGGTGGTCATCTGCGTCGGAGGAACGCAGGACTGGAATAAGGATCTCTGGGCACTGTTAGTGCATCACCAGGATTTTAACAGACTCTCTGCAGAGATGGGAAGAGACCATCTTCCCCAACTCCCATTGATGGGAGTTGTCATTCAGCACATCTGGAAGGCACTGGTTTGGAGTATGACTGGAGAGGATCAACTGCTCCAGATGGAGAGCACGCAAGAGATTCGCGAAGGGAGAGAAAACAGGAAGAGAATGCCAGAGGGGGCAACCTGGTTTGGGGGCCCTCACATGCCCCCGGGTGGTTGATAAGCCTCCTCTGTAAAGATCGCCTTGCCAATCAAGCTCTCTCCTGCACACAGAGCACCACATGTTCTCTAGGGATGATTTCCCCACTCTGGGCCTGCTGGAAAGGGCTCAGGTGTTCCCCTACCTGATGGAGAAGAACCAGGCTGTGTGGTCTCTGCTTGAGTGGCAAACCCCTCCAGCCCAGGCCTGCTCTCATCCGCTCCGTGGACCTGAGAGGACGATGATGCAGAATCCGCCTCTCGCTTCCTCTCAGGCGCCCTCAGGAAGTCCTGCAGTTGAGAGTGAAGGAGAGAGAATGCCCCACACTTTCCTTCCTGGGGACTAGACCCAGCCAGCCTCGCCACTGCAAGGTCGGACGATGGCTGCTGGAAGCGGAGCGCTGCAGAAGGCCTTCCAGGCGCGGCTTCAGCCAGAGCCTTGAGAGATGAGCAAAGACACCTATTTAACAAAGCCTTTGACGGCTCTGAAATTGATGGATATTTTTCCACTTGTATCTGTGATCGTTCTGCTGCTCCTCCTGCTGCATTTTGACTGGAACAGACATTTTCCATTTCATACCGTGAGGGTTTGTAAGAGGCTTCTGCTTTTTAAGCACACATTTTAAAATTCTAATTGATTTGTTAAATTTATGGTTCATAATACAACAGAAAGAATCCAAATCAAACGTATATATTACTTATCATGGATGCCAATATTTCCCTCTCCACACATTACATTGTGCCTAAGAGTGGTCTCTTCAGGCTTGCACTCCACTATTCCAAAATGATATGAAAAGATGCCATTTTCCTATGCATTTATTCTTCTGTAAGAAAGCTGTATGCAAGACACCTCTGACGGTAATTTAATGAGAAACTTGTACACGGAGCCGGTAGGATAAATACGTTGCATGCACGTAATGCAAGTGCAGCCTTATGGCCCCCATTTACGGAGTCCAGCTCCATCCTCATCTATGACACCGGCTGCTTCTCTGGGATTGCAAAAGCAACCTTGGAGAAGGCACTCAGGGGTGTTCTGGGGACTGGGAGGAGACCAGGTTACCTGGGCCCACTCTGCACTGCAGCAGTTAGACAGTGTCTGCAGGTCAGGGGGCTGTGGGTCAGGACCGGTGCCTCTGTGCCCCTCCCACTCTGCACAGGGCATCCATAATCTCCAGGAGGTCACGGGCAAATCCACAGGAGTGCACCCTCAGGAGCTAAAGAAAGACAGTTGACCAGGCCCAGCTTGGCCCATGGCAAAGGCCGTGGGACATCAAATGCCCAAGAAGGGAGTAGACATGCAGCCAGGATGCAGGATGGGAGACCTCCACATTTAGCTGAAAGTTACACTGGTCGCCTCAGCTGAACGACCAAGACTGTGGAAGCCACCGACCAACTTTCCTAGGAAGGGCAGGAGGCCATGAACTCACCTTGCGAAAGGTCCGGTTCTGCCGCTGAAATGGGAGAGCCGGGAAAGCCAAGCGGGCAGGCTTTAAGGAGACCCCAACGGGAGGGGGACCCAAGAGGGAATGCCTCGTAGCCTGTGGGAAGAACTGCTGCAGAAGCGGGGCGGCTGCCATGTTAAAGCCTCTCAAGCTGCCTGGAGAGAGAGGAGGAGGAGAGAGGCATTATTACACGAGTCCCACCAGTAGCGCAAGCAGGCAAGAGACTCCAGCCGATTTTTGCAGCCGAGCTGAGGGTCGGCTGCCAAGAAAGGCACACGTGTGGGGCTCCCTCCTGCATTCACATGCTGCAATTCCTGACCCTGCAAAACTCCTGGCACACAGTTAACCAACAGGGCAAACTGAAATCTGCCTCCAAACCACAGCCATCGCTTCTGATTTCACTGCAGAAGAAAGCGACGGCTTGAGGAAACCGTGGCTTTCGACACGGTTCAGGTTTCACGGGAAAACCTTCCTTACTGCAGATCAAAAAGCACAGGAGGAAATCAGACGAGACTGCCCAGCTGAAGCGAGTGAGGGGTTCCAAGAAGCCAAGCAGGTCTTCTGAGAACTGAGCCAGCGAGTGGGGTGCCGTGAGGGAACTATGTGTGAGGTTTCTGAGTCTTGGGGGGAGGATCCCGCAGGGGTTCAGGAAGAAAAGGAACTTTTTCAGTGTGCTGTGCTCCCCGCAGTGAGAGGACCACAAGAGTTTGCCATCCTGGACGGGACGCAAGCCCTCGCTGCAACTGTGGACTGTCAGTTGAGGTGTGTGGTCACCTCGCTTGGAATTATCCCTCCATGTTAGAGACAGGAGTGCATGTGAGGGAATCATGCAGGCACGCCTTGCTTGTTTCCGCTGCTGAAGCCGCAAGGTTGCAACACCTGCTGAATTATTCACTCCAATGTTTCTCAGATACCAAAGTATCCAGGCATCAAGTATTCCAAAAGGTAACACAAGCCCTTCAGCTGACCAGGGCGTTTCAAAGAATGGCCATGCTCGGGCCCCACTTTATTACAGGTAACATGATTATCAATTGCATAACATCCAGACAGCCACCCCTGAAAGAGAAAAAGGCTGCTGCTAAACAGAACGCAGCTGCATAACTAAAACCCAATGCACTGAGTGCAAAAAAGTCACCCTCTTCTCTGTGCAAAGGCAATTAATCATTGCATTGTTGTATTTGCATCCCTTTTTTTCATTCTGGGAAGGAAGCCGAGATGGATTAAATAGTCCTCCTTCTACCCACTGTATATTTGCGACAAGCCTGTGAGGTAGGTAGGCTGAGAGCCAGTGACTGGCCCAAAGTCACCCAGAGGACGTCATGGCCAAGCGGGGACTAGAACCTGCACCTCCTGAGTCCTGTGCAGCCCTCAAAACATTACATCAAACCACTGGATGAATTGTTCTGCCTGCCTGTCAGAAGTATAGGAACAAACTTAATAATTTTGTATTTAATGGTAATTTATTATGTACTATTGTATTTCAATGTATTTTATCATGTTGTAAGCCGCCCCGAGGTTTCGGCAAGGGGCGGCATAGAAATGTTATAATAATAATAATAATAATAATAATAATAATAATAATAATAATAATAGCAAGAATATTATATGCCACCATGAATTCCATTAGTAAAGTGAGATTATAAGATTTTAAATTATTGTTTGAAAATGCCTTGAGAGTATTTTTTTGAAAACTCCGAAGAAACATGGAAATATTGTAAACAGATTTCCATGGGTAGCCCAAGCCAAACCCAGCACCCAACACACAACCTCTATGGCATCCAAGCGGATGGGTTTTGGTCCAGAGCCAAAGAAGAGAGAGGAAGACTCAAGGCCGTGCGTCAGCCGTACCTTGCATCTGCTGCATGAGGAAGGCCCGCTGAAGCATGGGGTTGGCACTGAGGAGCGATGCTTGGCCCGTCGCCCGCAGATTCAGCATCTGTTGCGGCTGGGATGGCGCCACACCCCTGGGAAGAGAGCAGGAGACGTGGGGTGAGGACAAGCAGGCGATGCCCAGGAAACGTTCGCCCCAAGGGCAAGAGGAAGAGCTTGCAAGCAGCACCAAAGGTGGGGTGGAGAACGTGCAGGAGGTCCACCTGGGCTCAGCCAAGCGCTCTGCAAAAAAGCTTGGCCCAGCCCAGAAAAGCAGGGGTCCTCATGACAGTTCTGTCATCAGTGGACACCGCCACCACCAGGGCCGGTCCTACCATGAGGCAGGGCGAAGCAGCTGCCCACTTCATCTGTGGTGCCCTCCTTCATGACTTTTTCTAACTTGACAACCCCAGCTGTTGTCACCTTTCCTCCCGGGGGAACAGTTCCAGCCCCCTGATCATGTGAGTTACCCTTTCCTCACTTTTCCCAACATTGCAATATCTTTTTCTAGGTGCAGTGACCACAGCGGTGCACAATATGCTACAGTTACGGTGTGACTGCCTGTAAAATATTGTGTAATGCTCTGGCCACTGCACTCAGAAAAGGATATTGCAGTCTAGTCTGGGCAGTCTAACCTTGGCAGTTTTATTTTCAATTGTTTTCCTAAGTATGTCTAACAGGGAGTTTGCCTTTTTCACAGCAGCTACTTTAAGGTCAACATTTTCATCATGTTATTCATCACACCAAGAACTATTTCTTAGTCATTCACCCCTAACTCAGATCCCACCAATTTATACTTGAATTTGGGGCGTTATTTTGCCCCAACATGCATCGCTTTACACCTGCTACCACTAACAGCATTTGCCATTTTGATAGTTGTCCTACCAGTTCAGAGAGATCCTTTTGGAACTCATCACAAGCCTTTCTGTTTATGTTATTTTTCGCATTGTGCTATATTGCGCAGTAATGAACATTAGGCTCCTGGAATAGACCTATTTAAATGAATGCGACTTCAGTGCGGTTGCAACTAGGGTAAAAAAATTTTGAAATGCAATTAATAATCATACTCAGAAAACTTGTTCTATCAACAGATCTACTCTAAGTAGGAGTAACACTGGATATGCCCCTGTTTCATAGTATTATAGCAAGTCTGTAGATTCCTGGGCTGCCCTTGATGGGGCAGCTTTCCAACAGGGGAGGGGGCAGACCAAGCACAGCTTCCAATTGCACAGAAATACAGTGTAGCAACCCACCCCCCACCCCCACATCCAGAGGTGATGTTTAGGGGGCAACCCACTGGGTCTGGAACCCCAAATCTTTCCTCTGCAGCCCAGCAGGCTCTCCAGGCAGGGGCACTTGCTGAAACAAAGGCACAGGGTTGGCATTGGCGAACCCCCGCCCCTGCATCGGATCTCCCTGGATCCGCTGGATCTGGCCCACGTGGGCTTCCGCACGTGCCGCGCCAAGCCTCGACCCTTTCTGCCCGCAGCTTTTTCCCTGAAACCCGTTGCCCTTCGCTCCTGCTCCCACTAACAGGGGAGCCCTGAGCAAACGGGGCCAGTCTTCTGAGCATACTAAAACAGCCTATGCAAATACGTCGCGGCGGCGGTGGGTGTCTCCTCGCTGATCTGGGCGGCCGAGCCCCGGATCGTGGGGGCCGCGGGCGCCGCGCCTGCCCCGTCCCCGCCGCGCAAGCGCCTCCCGGCATCTCCCTCCTGGAAAACCCCGAGCGCGGCCACGCTGCTCTGCTCTGCTCGGCGGCTCAGCGACGCCCGCGCTGCCATCTTGCGCGGCCGGGCCCACGCCGCGGGAGCCGCGCGGCCGTGGCGGGGCGAGCCCTTCCGGCTGCCCGCGCCCAGCGAGCGCGGCAGGCCCGCCATCCCCGGCCTCCAGTAGGCGCGCTTACCGGCTCGGCGGCGGCGGCGGCTGCAGCAGGTGCTGGAGCTGCAGCAGCTGCTGCTGGAGCTGCTGCTGCTGGGGGAACATGGCCGGGGCAGCCCGGGCGGCGGCGCGC